GGGCGCAAAGCAAGAAAACACAATGCAAACTGGACGATTACAACCAAAGAGGGGAAAAAAAGGACAACATTGAAAAGAGGGCAAGTTGATAGAGAGATAGCAAAGGTCGAAGTCGGACCGCGATAAGAACGAGAGTGAGGAGGAGGAGGAGGCGGAGGAGGCGGAGGAGGAGGAAGAAGAAGAAAAAGAAGAAGCTGAAGAAGCTGAAGAAGAAGAGGAAGAAGACAGAAGACAGAAGGAGAGACTGTCGGAGGTGCTTGCAATCGATGGAGGAGTAGGAATGGTACATCAACACAGAAGAAGAAGAAGAAGAAAACGACAGCAGGGGAGACCTAAGGAGAAAGAGAGGAAAGAGATATTTCCAATCAATGAAAGTGTAGCAATCGCAAGTAAACCCATATTCACGAAGAAGAAGACGAAGAAGAGGTACGAGAGAGAAGATAGAAACGCGATGGTATCTATGTGCACCTCTCGCCACATGCGGCAAACGGAGAGGGCATCACTCCACTTAGTTGGAACAAATACACTCACTATTGTTTTCATTTTTGGCTAGTGGTGCAGCGAGATCCATGGCCTTGAAGAAAAATGCAAAGTACCAACCGAGAGGGGAAATCGGCTTTACCCTACGAAGAAGCATACCCGTCGTTGGTCCTTGGCTTGCTTGTAAGGACAATCTCTCCAAGCAGAAAGGGCCGAGCTATATCCACCTCGCATCCGGTTGCTTGGGGCTCGGCTGTTGGGGAAGGAAGGGGGGAACACATTCTTATGCCGAAGCACTTGGCCTATACGTAGGCCAAGGACCCCTCACCGCGACTTTCCAACGCAGGTAACGCCTCAAAGCAAAGAGCTGTGAGCCTGCTGGGATGGCAGGTTGTTTTTTTTTTTTTTTTTAACACCCCGGGTGATGCTAGAGATGGTGGTATAATCAACCACCTCTAGCACCCACCAGCTCCTAATGAGAATCTCTAGTTTACAGCTTCTTTTTTTTACTTTTTTTTGCTTTTTTAATCTACAGTTTGTAACTGCTGTAGGCTTTTTTTTTTTTTTTTTTTTTTTTTTTTTTTTTTTTTTTTTTTTTTTTTTTTTTTTTTTTTTTTTTTTTTTTTTTTTTTTTTTGTGAATGCTTGTGAATGCTTGTATTTTTTTTTATTTTATTTTTTTAATCTACAGTTTGTAACTGCTGTAGGCATTTTGTGAATGCTTGTAAATGCTTGTATTGCGTACTTCGAGCTCAGCCCCCTTCTTTTCTCACTTTAGGTCTTTTTTTGGAGACGATGCACGTATTCCGCTTTTAGCTATAGGTTCGGTGCTCTGTCGCTTGCTCTTCTGTATTCAATGGGGCTTTTTTTTAGGTTTTCCCACGTTACTCTCGATTCGTGGGATGAGCATTTTGGCAGGACCCTTGTTCTTAGCAAACTGTAGCTTATCTTGTTGTGTTGGGTATCATAAAGATGGTGTTAGAGGCCCGCCACACAAGCTTTCGACAGCTGTCATAGAAAGTCGGCCGTCGACATTTTAGCCCCCTTCGCCACCCAGGGGCAAGGTCCCGGTTGCACAAATTAGGAGATTTCGACCGTTGATCTTTGGTATCTACGGTCAGTATCTCTTAATTCGTGCAAGTGGGACCTTGCCCAGGCTGTCGAGGGGCAGGTTTTGGTCGTCGCCAAATGGACTCCGCCTTTCCACAGGGCACGGCAGTCACGGAACAGTCCCTGACAACGCAAATTCAAACGCAATTCTTTTTTTCAAACCACCAGTACTTGGGCGCGGCCGGCGGGCTGTCGATTCGATTTGAATCGACAGCCCGTGCTGCTTCGAGATTTGGGCGGCCGGCGCGGCGCGCAGTGCCCAAGTACTGGTGGTTTAAGCCCAGCCAATTCAATTACCTGTCGAATCTGGACAGGACGGCCTTTCAGGCCTTTTTTATTGTCATTATAGGCCTTTTTTATTGTCATTATAGTATTACGGGGAACCCCCTCCAACGAGGGAACATGCGGGAGCTGCACCCACACCCCCTCCAACATGCGGGAGCTGCACCCACCAGCAGGTGCGATACCTGCTACAAATTTCCGTCACCTGCAGGCGGGAGGAAACGAATGGAGAGGGTGGCTGTAGAGCGTACCATTCTGACACCTGTTGAGCCGCAATTGTTCGAAAGTCTGTGTCATGTGAAATTGAAAGAGGCTAGAACTACATCATGTCCACCTGGTCAGACAAATTTATCCCACAAGGTACAGAAGTAAGGAAATGATCTCCTCTTCAAGGAGGAAAACCATGTCAGACAACATATTTGTAAAAGAATACGAGTGTTCATGCGGCATGTTTTTCAGTCAGAGGTCTTGAGGGGTAAGGTAAGGGGTCTCATAAGGCATCATTGACTGCAAGGGGAAAGACAGGTCTGACATTTGATGTTGCAGAACAGCTTTACTTACATCAGGTTGATTGAGTTCAGAGAACAACTGACCAATGAATTTTACAAACACACTGAAATATCTTCAAGGAAACTGGAGAAGTCCTGGGGTACCCCCATGCACCGAGGGCACGGGCGAGCGGGCCAGGATTTTCGCGCGGTGAGTCGCAAACCGTTGATGAAGATAATCCAGTGACTTGATGCAGGTATGAAGAAAGTCGTGGCGCCGCAGTCGCAAACGAAGAAAGAGCGAAGGACAAAAGCACAGGGCTCCACAGGGAGTCTTTGTTAGAAATAGTAAAAGCAGCCCCTGGTAATCCTTTGGTATACGGGGATCAGTCTGCTTGGACCTCTGCGGAAAAGGAGGCCTCCTTGGGCCTAGAAAAGGCCATCAAGCCCTTAAAAGAAACAAAGCCCGAAAAGCTGCTTCTGAAAACCACCGAAGCTACTGCTGAAGAATCTGGTCCTCGAACATGTTCAGGTGCAGAAACCTTGTTAGCCGTACCCTCCGATCTAGAGATTTACCCAAAGTAAGTGACAGTTTCCTACGTCTTGCCTTCCCGTAATCTACTGAATGAGTCAGCTTAGCCTACAGCGGAAGCCTAGCTGCTATGGTCCCTCGTCCAATAGGAGGATTGCGTTTATGCCTTCTATGTGTGTTCATGCGGCGTGTTTTTCAGTCAGAGGTCTTGAGGGGTAAGGTAAGGGGTCTCATAAGGCATCATTGACTGCAAGGGGAAAGACAGGTCTGATATTTGATGTTGCAAAACAGCTTTACTGACATCAGGTTGATTGAGTTCAGAGAACAACTGACCAATGAATTTTACAAACACACTGAAATATCAAGGAAACTGGAAAAGTCCTGGGGTACCCCCATGCACCTCCTAACCCATGCCAAGTTGACATCATGATCTGTGTGCAGGAAATGGTGGCTGAGTAGATTGCTCCAAGGGAATCAAGAGATTGAGGATGCTCAGAGGTCTAAAGTAATTGAAGGCGACTATGCAGAGGTTTTGATTGATTCCATAGAGTTAATTGCTCAGCACGGCTTACCAAAAAACGAAGAGGTAGAACGAAGTCGAATGATGAAATCATTGACTGAGTGGTTGCTTCGAAACAAAGTTGGGAGAAACATCTCTAACTGCTTGGACTTCGATGTAATTGTCTTTCTTCAAGGCCAGTGGATTCCTGAGTTAAAATTGCGCAGTCAGCCCCTTGATCGGAATGGTTGCCCTTTCCCTTGTAGTACTGTCGAGTCCAACCTGAGTTGCTTGAATCGATGCTTCCTTATCTTGGGGCGAGAAGGGCTTCAAAATCCTTGCAATAGCAGCAAGGTGAAAGATTATCGACGAGCATATCGAAATTATGCCCTAAAGATGGGAGTGAGGGAGAGCCAAGCCCTTGCCATGACTGTCGAGAAAATGCAGCATTTACACGACAGTATTCGTGAGAGTCTGAATAGCAGAAGCGGTTATGGATACGCCGAACTCTTGCGTGATCTCTGCATAATGACTTATCTATGGGAAAGTTGGCAGTGTGGCGGAGAGGGTTTACGACTACGTGGAATGAACTGGACGAGGAAGCTGCTCGCGTGCAGCCTGGTTATACAAAGACTCCGAGAAAAGGTAGGGGTGGAGTGATCCGGCTTCAAGAACCACGAGGTTACGGAACATCCTTTCTGGAGGTGGCTGAGGAATTGTGGAAGTGCTATAGTCGTCTAGTTCCTCCTATCGATCGGTGTGATGGCGGACCTCTCTTTCGCAGTTCACAGACAAAAGGTATTCTGAGCCTTAGCGGTTTCAGCAAACGATTGAAGGAGAGATTGAAGGTTATGGGAATCTATGTCGGAGAGAGTAGTCATAGCTTCCGAGTAGGCGGAGTTAGGGCCGGGATTCAGGCTGGTTGGAGCCTGGAGAAAATGCTGGGGCAGGGTACTAAGAAACATTTTTCTTCCTTCATGCGTTACGGCTACGGTTGCAACTAGGGTTTAAATAGAGATTATGATAACCTTACGGTCAGTCTTACCAGGGTTGAAAGCATTCTTGGGAATTCTAGAGGTGGGGACGCAAACCGAGAAATCCTTTTATAGATTGAGAACAAAAGATGTAGGAAACGTTTTTAGGAAAGAGAACCAACTGACTCTAGAACAGCTGGGTGTGATTAAAAGGTAGTCTCCGCGGAAGGATTTCATCCTTGCCAAGACCTAGTGAAGCAGGCAAGTGGGAGGAAAAACTCATCTGTAAGGGGAGGAAGGTAGCAGATTCCAATATAAGGAAAGAGCATCCGCGGCAAGGCAATTTATGGTCAATAATTTCGAAATGAAAGGAATGCAGATACAGTTTTCTTCTGAAGCAAAGAGGCTTATGGCTGGTTTTCCAAATTTGGATATCAAAGTCTGCACAATGCTCTTGCTAAGACCCCAATCTGAGTGATCAACAATCTTAGAGAGATAGTCTGCGACAGTATTGAGTTCCCTAGGAATCCAAGTTGGTTGCAGTTGACAGTCGAAAGTCAGAAGAAGGGAAGCGATTTCTCTGAGAAAATAATTAAAGAGTGCGTCAGTCGAACTCAACTTCTTTAGGAGAAAAGACACTGCCTAGTTGTCACCTACTACACTTACGGCTTGGAAAAACAGTTATTCCAGAGCTCTGCTTGCTAGTACCGACAAGGTGGTCTTTACTGCGTATAGTTCACAGTGGGTACTGGACGTTTTCAGCAAGTCTGATGGGAGGAGAAAACTCAGTTTTCATGGTTTCTTGGACCAGAATAAGATGATGACTCCTACCGCTGAGTCTGATGCATCCGTCTGCAAAGTGACTGTTGCTGCTCTAACCTTCCATAGTTTTCCAGGGATTTTAGGAAGGTGTTCCAACCACCATCTTAGGTCGCTCTTACATTGTTCTGACAGTTCTACCTTGGTGTTCTAGTCACAATCTGAGATGGTAGAGTACAAGTGAGAACAGTGGAGCGAGACTGGTAAAAAGGTCTTGGATAACGAAACAAGCTTGCCTGCCATTGAGGCAACTCATCTTGCTGTTAAATGAGATTTAACAGATGATTCTTCTAAAAGTGTTAAGATTTTCTCTTTTTTATATTGGGGTACTCTAATTCTCTTGTGATGCGAGTTGATGATAAAGCCTAAAAACCGGTTGAACTGGGACGGAAAAACCATGCACTTGCTTAGGCTAAGGAAGAAACCCAACTTATGGAAGAGAAAACTGATCAGGAATGAGTTCCACAGACATAGAGGATAGTCCTTGTGGGTAGAAATGCTATCATCAATGTACGAGAAAATGTTGACTCCTTTGACTCTAATTACATCCATCACCTCCTGCATGACGGTCGTGAAAATCAAACAAGCCGAAGAGATTCTGAAACAAAGAGTATTGAATTAGTA